CAATGTATGTGCTAAATGTAATAAGACTATGAGTATGCCATAAGGAGTGCAAAAATGTTTTTATTAAATGTGTTAATTGTGTTAAGGCAAAAAAAACTCTTAACCTTCGTGAGCTGAGTACGGATCATGATTGCAGAGATATTATGTGTAAGACGTTACAGCGGAGAATTAAACTAGAAGCAGAAAATACTAATTATTAATCATGGAAGATAAAACTTTAATTAATATTTTTTGTAAACAACAACGTGGTATTAATATAGTTCATTTTAATGCGAGAAGTCTTTCTGGCTTAAAATTAGATCATGTAAGAGCTGTTTTCGAAGACAGCAAAGTAGATGTTATCTGCGTTTCTGAGACTTGGTTTGACTTCCATCTTGATAGTTCGTACCTATCTATAAACGACTTTGTTTTATTTAGACATGATAGGAAACATAAATTGGGTGGCGGCGTTGCTATTTATTGTAAATCATATTTAAGAAGTCAATTGATCTGTATATCGGAAGAAAGTGAAATTGAATTTTTATGTGTATGTATTTATTTAGGTAGTCATAAAATTCTTGTTTCTTGTGCTTATAACCCCAGCAAAAGGTACTGTAGTGGTCCTCTTTTTGAAGCCCTCCTTCCTATTGCTGTCAATTTTGATTTTATTGCCATATTTGGCGATTTTAATATTGATATTCTTTTGAGCAATGCTAAAGTGTCTGCACTGAATGACCTTATAGCTTTGGTTGGTCTAAGCATTGTGAATAATACCGTGCCTACTAGATATAGTAATAATGTACGCCCAAGTCTCCTCGACTTAATGATCGTGTCTGATCTGACCAAAGTGTTGTTATTTGATCAGATTTCGTTTGTTTCCGATCATGATTTATTATTTACTACCTTAGATTATTGTGTAACGAGAAATGTCAATCCCTCTCAGTTTTCTTTCTGGGATTTTAAATCAGCTGATACTCAGTTATTATGTAGTGATCTTAGCACTGTTGACTGGAGTAATTGCTGGTTTGGTGCTTCAGTTGATGACAAATTGACAGTCTTAAACAATATAATTATTAATTATTTGCATCAGTATATTCCGTATCGTACTATACATGTTAAGAATTCTTCATGTCCATGGTTCAGTACTGACATCAAACGTATGATAAACAAGAGAAATAGGAAGTATGCAGTGTGGAAAAGATATCCGAATGTTTTTAACTGGACGCGGTTTAAAGCAGCTCGAAATTTGACTCGAATGGCTATTTATCTTGCTAAATCTAGGTTCATTAAATCTAAACTAGATACCTCATTACCTACAAAATCACTTTGGAGCAACATCAAAGCTCTAGGGGTGGTTAATAGCTCAAGAAATGTATGTAGCATTGATCCTAACATTTTAAATGATTTCTTTGTTCCTATAGGAGATAGATTGAACGTTGCTCCGGTCTTCCCTGAACTTGAGAGTGTTCCCCCCGAACGCAGTTTTGACTTTATATGTGTTAGTGAAGAAACTGTCTTTAATAATGTCATGAAAATCAAGTCAAACGCTATTGGAATAGATGAAATTCCGCATAAATTTATTAAACTTATACTGCCGTTTATTATTACTCCTTTGACGCACATTATTAACCACTGTTTCACTACATCATGTTTTCCTACTGTTTGGAAAAAAGCCAAGATTATTCCAATTGAAAAAAAGGCTAATGCATCCTCATGTTCCGATTATCGCCCAATCAGTATTCTCCCTTCACTCTCTAAAGTGTGTGAGAACATTATGGCTGATCAAATACGTACTCATCTTAACTGCTTTAAACTTCTCTCTCCTCTCCAGTCTGGGTTTAAAACAGGTCATAGCTGCACGACGGCAATGCTTAAGGTCCTCGAAGATATTCGATGTAGCTATGATCAAAACTTAGTAACATTTTTATGTCTCCTTGACTTTACTAAAGCTTTTGACTGTGTTGACCATTCTCTATTATGTAAAAAGCTTTTTCATTCCTTTTATTTTTCTAGGTCGGCCTCAGAATTTATTTATAGCTACTTAACTGGAAGGGAACAGGCTGTACTCGTAGAGAATGCTTTTTCTAATTTCAAACCTTTATTTACTGGGGTACCTCAAGGCTCTGTACTAGGACCTCTTTTATTTTCAATTTATATTGATGATATTTTTTCAATATGTAAGTATGCTAAATTGCATGCGTATGCAGATGATATTCTAATATATCTATCTTGTCGGATTTCTGATTTTAATGACCTCGTGCAAATGACTACTGCAGATTTATCATATATAGTGGTATGGGCTAAGCAAAATAATATGTTCCTTAATATAAACAAGTCTTCAATTCTACCAATTGCTAGGCTAAATATTAATGTTGATTTCTTGCCATCTGTAACACTTGGCAACTCAATTATTAAATATACTAATTCGGCAAAATGTCTGGGTTTTCATTTGAACACTAATCTGCATGCTGGCGAACATGTTAACCAAGTCATTAGAAAATCTTTTGCATGTTTAAGAGGTCTGAACCTTTCTGTGAAGTATACACCGGTTGACATGCGTGTTTTGTTGGTAAAACAACTAATTATTCCTATTGTTATGTACTCCTCTTTAGTGTACTCAAAACTTGATGTTGAATCCCTCAATAAGTTACGAAGCTTAGTAAACTGCTGCACGCGATATGCTTTTGGTCTTAGACGCTTTGATCACTTAAGTATTTATAGAAATGTGATTCTATGGTGTGATATTGAACAATATATGCAGTTTCGAGTATGCTTATTTTTGTTCAGACTTTTATCCACTACTACGCCGAAGTATCTTTTTGATTGCTTGCAGCTAACTAGATCTAACAGATCTCGTTTTTTCATCATTCCCAGATTTAGTTTTGCCTCCACTACTAAGTTTTTCTTTATTCAGTCTGTTAGAATATGGAATGCTCTTTCAAGCACAACCAGAAATGCAGATAACCCGAGTGTTTTAAGAAACTGTTAAAAAACGAACTGTGTTAACATCACGTTTATTTGTCTTTATTTTTTTTTTTTAAGTTTATTGTAATTTGTTTGTTATTAACTTAAATTCTGTTATTTAAATATTTTATGCTGTTTTCTTTTTTGTTTCGCTGTTAATCAGTAACTATAATTTTAATACTTTTTACATATGTTATTACTATATTCTCTGAAAACTTTAATTACTTTTTTTATTTTATTTTATTGTATTTTTTATTTTTATTTTAATTCTTTAAATTAGCTTTAAGATACTGCAATAAAAAGGGTTGTCCCTTAATGCATTTAAATGAATAAATAAATAAATAAATAAATGTGAAGCGCTCCGCTGGTGAGCAAGCCAATAGCCTGGTGCTGTTGCCTATTTGGTGCGCTGCGTCATTGCGAAACTGGCAGTGGCCTGGAGCTGTTGCTATTAGGTTTGTCCTCATTAGACGTGAGCCTGGCCTCTTATGATCAGCGTGAGATGTGCCACGATATCGTAGTGTAACAGTCTTGCTATCAGATTTTGGTTTGCTCTCCAAACAGTGATAACTAGACTGTAAGCTCGTGTCTCCAAGAATGCAAGCAAATCTGCCAAAGGAGGAATTTGATTAGTTGTGCGGCTCATGCCTCATGCCTGTTGCGTAATTGTTGGTAACTTGGTCACTATAATGGGTACCGCCAATGCATCCCATTGATCCACGGGTAAGTTCATTACCGCAAGCGCTCGCAAGGACTCTCGCACTGTATCAACCACCGAGAGCAACGGAGATGTTGACTCAACCTGTGGTGGGTTGAAGCCAATTAGCCTCTTGCTAAAGTCACCAACTCAGCATATGCAGTTTGTAGTTTGTCGAAGTGTGCCTGCAATGTTGCACGATCTTGCTGCATGCTAAAGCTATCCTCAACGTAGTCATCCGCCAATATTTTTGCAGCTACTCGCTTTAATGATGACCACGCAGCCGTACGCCTATTTAAGGCAGCCATATTTTCTTCGTATAAAGCCAAAAACGCAATTTAATTTTTAATTAAAAACCGAAACTCCCGGGTTTCGGCACCAACAAATGTATGAAAAAAATGAAGGACAATAATTTCATACACGCAAATATGTTTCTTTATTTGATCACAATTTTTAAAATACAACACTTTGTATAAATCAGCCACGCCACGATAGATAAGGTACGCACATCGCCAACCAGAAGTAAAAAAGGAAACGGAAAGAAGAAAGGCAAAAACGAAGCCAAAAATTATTGTTTGCCAGACGTCAAACTGCAGCGGTCAAAAACTACTAAATGGGTGATGCCATATCGCCTGGTTGCTGTGCCAAATCTCAAACATGATGTGTCGATACGTGTTGATGAATGGCTAAATGTGTGCAGTGCAAAAAATCCCAAAAAACCTCCCATTTGGTTTAGCATCAACTTAGCCTACTCGCACACGTCCATAATACAGTTTCAATCTCTTTATTGACTCATCTACTCTTAATATTTAATTATCTTATTTTACTTAACTCAAATACGTTTTAAGTATTCATTGTTAATATCTCATACACACTATGTAATTCTTAATATTGATTTGAATTATTATTGTAATTTCCACTACTGTAAAAACAAATACTAATATAAATAAAGGGAAGAGAAAAAAAGTGGTAGAAACACACAACATACAACACACGTCAAACAGATACCTGCTTTGGGGTGTTGAACGGCACTTAGTTGTTCAGTGGCTTGGAACCGCGAGCCACTGATCGGGATGATGCCGACGGTTCTTTGATGAGAACAACTCACGTCTGAATGGGCAATAAAGTAATACATACATGTGGAAAAACGCGCTTCAATAAGACAAATCATTTCTCTTCACAATATACTCGTTATTATCCCTACCAATATTGTAGGCAATGTTTACTTTAAAAACTTTCTATAACAAAGGAATGTTGTTAGTATGTTGCTTTATTCTATTAGGCAATCTACTTAATGTTAACTTATCTACTTGATATGAAATAAAAAATATAATTAGATTTGTAACTACAAATATTTGATTTAAGCACTTTATTGGGTTATAATTTTTTTAAAAATACTATTGGAAAGCTAAACAAAATTATTTTGACTATTATCTATGTTGAAATCTAACTAAAAATTAAATTAAAAATGTGAACAATTCGATTGAAATATTATAAATAAAGAAAACTAAATATTGGTCATAATGTTGTTAGATATATGAGATATGTTATTCCATATATTCCATTTGCAGTAGTTTACATTATAATCATAAGACAATAAGATCTGAAAAAAAATATATTAGTTATTTTAAATGAAAAACAGATTCATTGTATGTAAAATCAGTGTTTATGTACCTTATTTGGGAACAAACAGCAACTTTTGATTAACGATTAGTAACACATTTTCCAAACAAAATATTAAATGCTTCAAATATGTTCGGGAAGCGAAACACACTATTTCAATTCACAGCAATGTAGGGTTTTAGGATACATTTAACAGTAAGCGTGCAGGTTTGGAGGTCAGCGAGCGAAATTGACGTTTAGATTAGCAAACGTGATCAAAATTTTTGATTCATTGAAACAAATAACCGTGTTAATCAGATGAGATTTAAAATTTTTTTTTTTATTTTTTGCTAAAATTTGGGAAATTATTTGTTGACTTTGTTTTAAAACTGACTGTAAAAGTTTCCATGTGGCCTGAACAATTCCAATTTGATTTTATAGTTCACGTCATTTGTCGGTAGTGATTGCGAGAAGGAAAAAATTATAGGGAGAATTGTTAATATATTTGTTTAATTTTGATTATCAATAAAGTTTAGTTTGGTAAAAAATCTTACAGTATAGATGAATATAATAAACAATTGTTTATCAATATTTGGGATATTGAATTCATAACTAATTTTCTACATACGATTCGTGTGGATAAACTGTCAATGGTTTAAAAATTTCGCACTACAGTACAAAATGGAAGTAACAAAATAAAAAATTAATTAAGGCTCAAAATACAATAAAATTTTAAATAAAATTAATACAAAGTGATTTTCTATAAAAGCATGTAGTTCAAGAAGTGAAGCAAGTAGCTTAATGCGTTTAAAGCAATTCATTTAAATTTGTGGTTTCATATATGATTACAACTGTTATTATCATGAAGGTAACATTTTGAATTAAAAATAATTATAAGTTACACAAATGAAACTTAGTCTTAAGCTTTAGTAGCGAAAATATTTTATGCTAATTATTTATAATTTTACATATATTAGAAGATTGATTACCAGTTGACACGCCTAGTGGATAGAATTTTTAAAATGTTTTCAATAACATCAGTACTAGAATTCGACCCGTTTAAATCTACAAAAATAAATAATATTAAATACAAACATACTCTAATCAAAAAAAATCTGTTCCATATACTAAATATACCTGGCGTTCGTATGCCATCTTCAACAATCGTTTGATATGTAGCATCAGCAATGACTTTTGCGTGTTCTTTGTGTCCTAAATGATTTAACATGTCAACGCTGGCGTTAATCATAGCAACAGGGTTCGCAACATTTTTGCCAGCAATGGCTGTACCAGTGTTACGTGTGCCAGGTTCAAAAATTGCATACTTTCGAATATAATTTTTTTAATTTGCAGAATTGTTACATATTTTATACTTACATGATCTCCGTAATTTCTACCTGACAATAATCCAGCGCCACCAATTAATCCACAAACAACGTTAGATACAATGGTACCATACAAGTTAGTCATATTCATAACATCGAACTGTAAATAAAAATTAATTTAAAATTAAAGCTTTTCATAAGCTTACTACCCCGCACCTGATGAGGGTTTGACACCAACTGCATACAAGTATTGTCAATAATCATGTTGTTGTGTTCCAATTCTGGATAGTCCTTATGCACTTTTTTTGCTACTTCCAAAAACAAACCGTCAGATAATTTCATAATATTTGCCTTGTGTATCGTAGTAACTTTTTTACGATTGCTTCGACGTGCGTACTCAAAGGCATACCGAGCTACACGTTCTGCATTTTCAACTGTTACAACTTTCATGCTTTCTACTACACCACGTACAGATTCATGCTCCAACATAGCATATTCACCATCAGTATTCTGACGTATAAGCACGATATCAATATTCTTATGATGTGCTGGTATGCCTGGATATGATTTGCAGTGCACTACATTTACGTACAAATCAAGTTCATTACGTATTGCCACATTGCGGGAGACTTCGGCAAGACTTCGTGACTTGGTTTCAATGTTTCCTTTTAGCGCCACGCCATTACGTTTGATAGATGTAATAGCATATTCTAAATCTTCATTACCTTCAGTAGATGGATCAATATCTATGACTTCGAAATCAATGGGTGCACCGCAATATCGAAAAATCTCCCGTATATACTTCATTAATTCTGGTCCAATACCACCACCAGGTAACATAGTCACGGCATGGCGACCACCATACTGTGCTGAAGGTATATCAGTGACCTAAAATTAATATAGCATATAAATAATGATTAAAATATTTATACGTCTAAACAAATTCACTAAAACTTACTGTTAATTTTTTCTGTAAGGACGACTTGGTATGTGCAACATCTTCAACTTTCTCTTTTGTAACAAGTAAGGGATAACTCTGACATACAAAATAAAGTATATAAATAATTTTGGAATACTTTATCTATTATGTAATTTTCCTATGCAGATAATATAATTAACACGCTATCATTTATAATGCACTTACTCTTGTTAAAAAGGGAATTTGCATTTGTATCACTCTTTGTGTTAATCGTACAGCCATATTTAATTTATATAATTTTGGTTTTTTATACAAAACCAAACTTGGGGCACAATCAGCAGTTACTATTTTCCTTAATTAGAGTTTAATATCGTAATTGACGCAATATGAGAAACATGAAATATCTTATAAGCAAAGAACACCTCACAAGAATAGAAATTCGATTTTCACCTAAAATTTGTTTTTTTATAACCAAAGAACAACATTGTCTATTGATAACAAATAGACATTTGTTTACTGAGTGGATTGGTAATACAGAGAATACATTGTGAGATTAATTGTAGATTAAAGCAATAATCGAGATTAAAGTATAAATCTCGTTGTTTGATCTCAAATTTCCCAAATAAAAGTGAATCTCCTTTTGGTCGAGATTAGTTTTGAATCTCCTTAGAAATTATAATTATTTTTCTGTGTAACTCAGCAAATGTCTTAATATCGTAAATTTATTTATAATCTTGGAAATGGAAAAGAAACGTCCAAATCTATTTAAAACAAATATTCAAAATTTGAAAATGCCGAAGTGAGTAAGTTTTTAATAAATTTGTTTAATAATAGTTTTGTATACAATTAAGACTAAAATTTGTTAAATTTTTGTTATAAAACTATGTATTTATAAAATTACTATCATAATTTTCTGTACAAGATTATAATAAATTGTTATTACAACCAATATTTATTCAGTTTCTATATTTTTTACCGGTCGTTTTTTTAACACAACTTTATAAAAATGCCTTTTTAAATAAAATAAAAAATTACACTTTTTAAACAGTGTTAAAGATTTAGTTATATATAATTTTTATTAAAAATTTAAAAATTATTTTAATTACAGATATTTCGGTCTACTTCGTAGAGCATCTTCAGTGTATAAACAAAGGAAGAAATTACATATTAAAATACATGTAAATAAATATCCACTTACAAAGTTTTAAAACCAGATCCTACTTCAAAATTACAAACTAAAAACATCAAACTAGTCGAAAAATTATTCAAAGAGATGCGTTTGATATTGCAAAAAAGAATAAATTAATTACTTACACAACTACGGCACCATGAATCAATGGATTGCCGAAACTACATAAGATAGACATCCCTTTAAGACCCATAACGTCGTGTGTAAATTCGTCATCACACAATTATCTAAATATATTGCATCTATATTAAAAAGTATAACTAAATATTCTGTCTATAATATCAAAGATGCTATTGCTTTCAAAGGAAAAATTAACAATTCATATATTTTTGACGATGTATTTCAGTAGACTATGCATTAAAAATCATTGATAGTAAGTGGTCTCTTATCACAAAAGAATGCAATATGAAGAAACAAGCATTTATAGAGATTTTAAGCTTCCTACTTAAAAAAATAGCTACTTTATATTTGAAAAGAAAAAGAATCTGAAAAACTTGCCTAACTTGACGCAATAGTTATAAGACACAACAATAAACTTTAAATTAATTGGTATCAAAAACCTACAAATATTGGACGATACATTAATTACAACTCGCCACACCCTCCCCATATAATTCGGAATACAGCTCTAAATTTGATTAGGCGTGTACTGAATATCAGCGATCCAATTTTTCTTAAGGACAATGAAAAAATTCTGATCAACATCTTGCTTAAAAATGACTATCCCAAACGGACGATATATTCTCTTCTAAAACAAGGAAATACAGTACGTAGAATCCGATTATCAACCAAAAATTTATCTTCCTATGACGTATATCTCTGGGCTTTCGGAAAATTTCAGCAAATCCAAATGTTACAATGAAGACACACACACATTAGCTTTCAAAGCTAGAAACACGCTTAAAAATCATTTTTTTAACAAAACAAAAACTCCAATGGACAAATTAGATGAGCACGATGTCGTATACAAAATTTCATGTGGAGGTGAAGGGTCTAACATATGCCAGCAGATAAACAAAAAACAAACTTAGGATGAGAATCGCTGGTCACAAAAATGATATAAAGAGCAGATCAACTCCCAATGACCAAAAGACAGCATTAGCAATGCATTGCTCTATGATGAACCAAACTCCAAATTTTGACGAAGTACAGAGTCATCAACACAGAGTCAAATTATATACGTAGACTGATGCCGGAAATGTTACACATCATTGAAGTTCCGGACAATTAGAGACTTAACTACAAAAAAGACACAGGTCTTGCATAAATTTACAGGTGTCTGATCAACCATAGAAGAATTTAATATACAATTAATAAAATCAAAATTTGAATTTATCCTCCATTGTTTGTTCACTTAAAAAATTTTCCTTTTAAATTTAATTTCAAATTTTATTGTATTTTGAATCTATGTTTTTGCTTTTGACTAAATAAATTTATATGTTAAAAATGTCGAATATTGAAATAGACAATTTTCATTTTTGGTTATTTGTTCATATATATGTTTATATGTTTATTTACATGTATTTAAATATGTAATTTCTTTCTTTGTTTATTGTTTGATTATACACTGAAGATAGTCCAAAATATCTGTAATTAAAATAATTTTTTAATTTTTTTAATAAAAATTAAATATAACTATATATTTAACATTATTTAAAGACGACCTAAGCCGAGTAAAAAAATTAGAAACAAACTTATAATTAAATTTTTTTTTAACATACATTATTTATTGCATCTTTTTTTACAATGAGACTTATAATAAATTTTCAAATATTATCAGTAAATACATAATATTACAAATTTTTTTTTACTTCAAGCTATTATTTATTAATTAATGACTTGTAACGACACTTTTTGGTGATGTTCAAAAATATTTAGTTTTTGCTGGGGTATCCTACGCCGTCGTCCAGAGTCATCACAATGAATTTATATTCGCGGGGACGAGTTTCGTAAAAGAAAGATATTTTTAAATTTTCTAAGTTTATTTCTTTATTATTTCAATAAATGTTTGTACAAAGTTATTTCGATAATAGTGCGAAAGCTAATTATTTTAAATGTGTGATTTCAAAATAAATTCTGTATACCTAGTTGTGCCGTACGCTGTGAATTCTGTGAGTGATAGTCGTGGATTTGATGGGCGAACGCCGTGATTTCTGTGGACGGGTGTCGTGGAATGGCGTGTAGTTCTTCTCAGGTTACACTACGGAATATTCATCATATGTCCGTACGATTTCTTGTATTCCTCCAAATAATTTTATATTTTTTGCCGTAAAACCAACGCAGGATTTAAGATTTTTTTTATGGTTATATATGGTTCATAGACATATATAATTTGTAGCCTTTGCCGTAAAACCAACACAGGATTTAATAGTTTCCAATTGATATATATGGTTCATAGACATATATAATTTGTATCCTTTGCCGTAAAACCAACGCAGGCTTTAAAAATATTTCTTATAGTTATATATGTTTCATAGGCATATATAATTTATTTCCTTTGCCGTAAAACCAGCGCAGGATTTAAAAATATTTCATATGGTTATATATGTTTCATAGACATATATAATTTATAGCCTTTGCCGTAAAACCAACACAGGAGTTTAATAGTTTCCAATTAATATATATGGTTCATAGACATATATACTTTTATATCCTTTGCCGTAAAACCAACGCAGGATTTTAATAGTTTCCAATTAATATATATGTTTCATAGACATATATACTTTTATTTCCTTTGCCGTAACAACCAACTCAGGATTTTTAATATTTTCGGCGTAATACCACCTTGACGAATCTCATAAACTCGTCCCTTCTTAACAATTTAGCTGTCTTAAATACCCATACGCCGGAGCTTTCTTCTAGCGTATTTTAAATTTTCCCGTTCGTTTACCCACTGGGTTGTGCAGTGTAACCGCTGTGCTTACGATCTTTGCCGTGAAGCCGCTGCGCTTTTGTTTTTTGTTTTGACAGCCGCTTGTGTTTTAAATTATAAAAGTATTTTTACAAAAAAAAAGTGTAAGTGATAAATATATTTATAAACAAAACATGCATGTAAACAAAAATATGAGTGTATAAAACTTAATTGTAATTAATTGAAAGAATTTCAGTGATTTTAAATTAAGCCGGTACTGATGTTAAATTATTTTGGTGGTAGTTTTGTTTATGTTGTAATATTTGCAAAAGAAATAAATTAAATATTGCTTTTCATGTTATACCGTAACAATTAATAAACTCTAGTTATTTTAGTAATTATCCAAATAGAAAACTAATGGAAAACTATGACGAAGTGTTGCTTGTGTTGCGTTTTGTTTGTAGAGAAAAAACGCAATCAGTGGACGTTTAGTTGTTGTATATTTGTTTATTAAAAATATATTTGTAAAATAAATGTGTTTACTCTTCGTGTTGTAATTCAAATTTTATAATAAGTAAATAAAAATTTAATTTTTTCTTATAACATGTTCATGGTGTGTTTATATTCTTTTTTCTCTCTTCAGAGTTTCTTTTCAGTCTAGATATCAATGCCCGTGGCTCATCAGGCTGGAGGATCGCAGGTAATGTCAATATAATTTGTGGCCAAATATATTTTGATAAATTTTATATTTTACAGATAATTTCACCGCAGTTCAATTCAAGTCAGTGTTTAATTATACTGTGTGTAGGTATAATGCAGTTGTGCTTTTATGGCGACGGTCGGACATCGTTTTCCTCTTCTTCTAGTAGTATGTGCGGTAGAAATTTAATGTAAAAATTTGTATCGTTATAGACTAGATGGTCAGCTATTTTTAGGAGGGAAGTTATGGATACAAGTGCGAGATTCTTTGCTAAGGGGTTAACATGTTCTGTCAGTCTTTTATTGTATTTTTTTCTTACATTGTTAAATTTAGCTAATGGAATTTGTACTGTGAGGATGGAAATTTGTGATTATTTCCAACCTACATAAATTTAAATAAATTTCGAAGAAATCTGAGATTAAATAGATGAATTAACATTTAACATAGTTATTAGAAACTATTTACCAAAAAGCCAAAATGCCACCTAGAGAAATATATCTTAATAAAATAATAAATACATACCTTCTTTGTTCATCCCCGCAAATTTATTTAAATAATTTATTAATAAATTATTTTTTTATTATGTTATTAATATAAATAACTTAAAAAAAACACGATAAAATTATTGGCACCGGTGCTTTCATAAAATCAAAACAA